GCGGTATGCTTGGTAACCAGGCCAGGGACCACTTTTTTGAAATCAGGGACCATTTTACCGAAATCTGCTAGGCTCTCTCGCTGAAGCGTTCCGCACAGGACACCCAGGCATAAAACTTTTAAGACTTATTTAAATATACCAAAGCAACTAATAGAGAGAGAGCCTGGGACTAGGCTGTCACGTATCTAGACGTGTACCAAGCTGCACTGACGAGGCGTTGAACGCCGAAACATGCATGTGTGCAGATTATAAAGTGCTGAATTAATATAAACGAGTATGTTTATGACATTCAGTATATATTTCATAATTTCCAGTCTTAATTCCGTCTGACCGTGTAGCTCAGTAGGTAGAGCGTCGATCTAGTAATTCGAAGGTTGCGGGTTCGAGACCCATGCAGCCGCGGCAGACAACATCTTTCTGCTTGCGCTGGGTATGGAAATTATATAATACACACTCTAGAACATTTTCACCTTAATAAATATATATAATATATATATATATATATTTTTTTATATTTATTAAGGTGAAAATGTTCTAGAGTGTGTATTATATAATTTCCATACCCAGCGCAAGCAGAAAGATGTTGCCGCGGCTGGGTCTCGAACCCGCGACCTTTGAATTACTAGATCGACGCTCTACCTACTGAGCTACACGGTCAGACGGATTTAAGACTGGAAATTATGAAATATATACTGAATGTCATAAACATACTCGTTTATATTAATTCAGCATCGAACAATACTATTTCTGCAAGTGTTATGTTGAGTTGTGTAATAGCTGTTATCGTAATTGAATACGTCTATGCTACGTACCAGCGGTATCTACATTATTTTAACATCGAGGCGAGGCTATAGGGTCATGTTTTGTGTTTTTTGACCCTTTAGCCTCGTTTTCGTTTGTACTTCCACTGAGATACCACTGGTATGCCGCAGCGGCGTATTCAATTACGATAACAGCTATTGTACACTCCGTAATATGTTAAGGTGAAAATGTTCTAGAGTGTGTATTATATAATTTCCATACTAATTAACATTTTCACCTTAACATATTACCGAGTGTACAATTACACAACTCAACATATATATAGTATAGAAAGAAAGTATAGTTCAAAGAAAGTATATGAAAGTATAGTTCACGGGCCCAATAAACAAGATGGCGGCTTACAGCGGGGTGTTGTCGGGTCAAGATAAAAACAGCGTCGGCGGGCGTGATTAAATTATTATTCACTATCACTATTCCAATAAGCAATTCAGAATTAAACATTTGTCTTTTTTTATTGCAAGTAGAGTGATTTACTCGGTGCACGTCTGTATGCGTGACAGAGTTTGCTCGTTGGGGGG